AATGGGCCCATCGTGCGCGACACCAATTGCATTTGCGGTCTTGATGTTGCACCACCAACGAGTGAGCAAGATGAATGGGAAAGATGAGAAAGAAGCCAAGACCCAAAATACAACGTGAGGAGCCTTGCATCCAGTGCATTTCACAACTTTGGCGTGCATGATGCCCTTTACGTCAATGCTCGCTCATCCACCTGCATAGGATACATCATGCTGCTGCATTCGTGCGCTATCATAGCCCCTCTGGCCAAAGGACGAGAACAGGGCAAATCCCTTTTTCCGGGTTGCGCCAGCCTCGTTTTTTTTTTTATTTTCTCATTGTTCTCATTCGCCTTTTTTTTTTCTTTTGTGACACAAATACCAGCATCATCCTTTTCATGATGAATAACCAAGATGAGACGTGCAAGTGGTTTTAAAAGTGAATTGCCACGCAATTCCCATCTTTAGCCAGGTTGGCCTCATTTCAAGGAGGTTGAAAAGCCAAGGCTCGCAACAGCGCGCTCGCGTAGCACACGATCGCGTGCCTTTTCAGGCAACCGAGGAAACCTTACTTGACACGCGCTGATTCAATTCATCTTTACCTATGCTTGGCAAGTCGAAACATCAAGCTTTACAAAGCCAACATCGCTCAACATCGCTCAACAGCACCGAAAAGGCATCACCATCTGAGCAAGAGATCTTCACATCGTGCAAAGCAAACGGTTGCATCACAATGGCATGGCGCTTGCGCTTGCGCTTTGCCCAATTCGGCGCCCTTTGGTGTAAAAACGACTGCTTTTTGAGAGATGCGCAGCTTGTAGAGAGAACGAAACCCTTGAGAGCACTCAATGCACGTGATGGAGACTTTTTTTTGGTTACTGGGCAATAAACCTGAAGATTTGATTAGATGGTTGTTGAGAACAACAAGAAAAGAGCATCTTTAAGGTTAAACAGGTGCGTTTGTAAAAATTATACAACAGACGGAATGTTTTAAATGCTTTCAACCAACAAGGGCACGCTTTCTCGTTCAAATGAGCCCACCCTTGCAGCATTGCGGCCATCAGATGGCTCGCATTCATGATATTCGAAAATTGCAAAATTTAGGTCCTCGGATTGCTACGCCGCTCAGCCCTATGGTAAACGCGTCTCGCTCACTGACAATAGTGCAATAAAACCACGGGGTGCATCGACTGCTTGTCGCGTAAAATGCAATTTGCCTCTTTTTTTCGCCTCATAGTCAACTCGACGAGTATGGACTGCAGCGTCTTGAAACCATAACCATCGGAAAGAGAGCAGCCTGATGCATACTTGAGTGTGGATGATCATTGGAAAACTAGGTTTAACGCAGAATTGGCACGGTTTCAAAATCATATAGGTTTTTTGACGCGTGCAAAACCGCATCAAGCGTGGAGTTGGACGCGCCGATTCTTAATCAATATCATGCATCTGAAGCTTCTCTTGCCAGTGAACGCGTCGGCGCGACTCTAATGACGCGTTTTCTCTTGCAAGTCGCAGTTGTAATTAAATTGAAAATGTGCATTGCTCGGCCATCCACTAATGGACCATGCGCTTTTTTTTGTCATTTTGGTGGTCATTCCCTTTGGTTCATCTGGTGTGTAAGTTAGGGCCGATTCTGAAGACCGATATTTTCAATTTTAGTTTGGGAGCGCAACCAGGGCGATTTTGTGATATTGCGTGTTGCGCATTTCAACCAGTTGAGAAAGCTTGAAACTTGTGCCCTTCTCAGTTTCTTGACTTATTCTTCACGTCACGACGCACTTCGGTGGCCCTATAGTGCCCTGCTGACGAGTGGCAAGCGGATTTTCGCTAAATATGGTTGTTTGATGAAATCATCTTGCAGATCTTGTCCAAACCGCCTCCAAACTTGAATCCGCTGCCGTTTGAGATAATGCCCCGCCCATGTCAAAGTTTCTCGGCCGTTGGATAACTTACTTGTGTATGACGTGTCGTAAAATAGATCTTTTTTCGCATTTTCCGGTCATTTTGTCGACAATTCGGCCATGGGGATGGAAACAATGATTGATGGTGATGATGCGGCGCGTCGCTTGTCAATCAGCTTTACACGTATTCCTTGCTTTGTGTTTTCGTCGAACAAAAAAAAGAAAATACGCGTTTTTTTGCTGTTTCACAGCACAATGTGTTTTTGTGCGCGTTGCCTGCTGCGTGCAGCACCGGTCGCGCAGTAGAAGAAATGTGGTACAACACGGAGGTCACCCGAGGCGAAGCGGCGACGACGGAGATCAAAAAGTGAAAAGAAAAAAATAAAAGAGGGTGCGTTGACGCCCAAGTTTCATGTCCGTTCCTCTTTTTTTGTTTTCTTTTATTACATTTACTCTTTCCATTCCAGTTTCTCTTTGCAGCCATGGCAACCAAGAGAGGACGTGAAGACGCGACTGCCAACGACAATGGCAAAAAGAAGCAAGCGACTATTATGTCTATGTTCAAGCCCAAGGTGGTGGTGGCTGAGGGTAACAATAACAACAAAAAGCAAGCTATTGTCGAGGCGCTGGCCATCAGCTCCACACCGTCGCCAGAGCTCGCCAAGGCCCTGTTCACCGACGAGGACGACGACGTGCGCCAATTGTTGCAGCTGGAAATCAATACCATGAATTACGAGTGGCTAAAGGTTCTGCGCAAAGAGGTCACCAAGCCCACGTTCCTCAAGGTAGTAGGCATTTTTTTTTTTTTGCCCCGTTTTTGCCTCGGCACGCGATTCCAGCTCACGCGTTGTCTTTTGCCCAAATTTCTTCTTTTTAGCTTAAAAAGTTCCTGGAGCTAGAAAAGTCAAACAAGCAAGTGATTTATCCACCAGGTAAACGTCCATTTCCACCCACAGAATGCTCAAACGCGTGAATTGACTCGAAAAATGCACGAATTGACGCGAAAACGTGTTTTTTTTATTTTTGCTACAATAGAGAATCAGATCTACAGCTGGTCCAATTACACGCCTCCAAGCAAAGTCAGGGTGGTGATTCTTGGGCAGGGTAAGCAAAAGGATGTGTTGAAAGTAGGCGGGGAAAGCGAGGTTTTAACGATTGATTCTTTTGTGGTGCAGATCCGTATCATGGTCCGGGCCAGGCACACGGTCTTTGTTTCTCTGTGATGAAGGGCGTCACTGCACCACCCTCGCTCGTCAACATTTACAAGGCAATTGCCAAGGACTATGCGGATTTCAAGTCGCCGGGCCACGGCTATCTTGAAAACTGGGCCAAGCAAGGCGTTTTGATGCTCAACACATCTTTGACCGTGCGCGCACGAGCGGCAAGCAGCCACAGCGACAAGGGATGGGAGCAATTCACAGGTAGGTCACGCAGAAACACGCCTGCGAAAAACAGTAGATTTGGTCGATTGATCGATTTTTCCCCCAATAGATGCCGTCATTGACTATTTGAACACGAAGAAATCCAACATTGTCTTTCTGCTGTGGGGCTCGCACGCGCAAAAGAAGGGCGGCAAGATTGATAAAAAGGTAAAAATAACAAAATACTCTTTTTCTTTCCTTGCAGATCTCCATTCACGCCCTTTTGTTTTTTTAGAAACACTTGGTTCTAAAGTCTGTGCACCCCTCGCCTCTGTCGGCCCATCGCGGCTTCTTTGAATGCCATCACTTTAAGCAGACCAACGACTTTTTGGAAGAGCGTGGCCTTTCCACGATCGATTGGAACAATCTCGCGTGAATTTGCGCGCGTCAATCCACATCGCTGTTGATTCAACATTCCTTTTGTCTTGATTTTATTTGCGTGTGGAGCGAGAAATAAAAAAAAAGACAACAATCATACCTCATTTACATGTCAGAGGTCTGCAAGGAGCCACGCTTGGCCTTGCGTGCGGCGCGTTTAGCCTTTTTACCGCCGTGGATGTCGGCATAGAGCTTCTCCTCCCAATTGAAGCACTCTTGGCACCCAACTTGCTTGTGCTCCAAGCATCCAGGCTAAGAAAGTCAGTGAAAAAAGGGATGGATGAGTAAATCGCGTCTTTTTTTTTTTTTTTTACTCGGGTTTTTACCCTGCCATTGCCGCCGACGCGAGCCCATTGATGGCTGACGCTGAACGGCTCGCGTTCATCACCCTTCCATTTGGACGAGAATTCTTGCTCTGAGAGGCGCTCGTGCAACGAGTCCTCAACCATCGCATTGTTGCTGGATCGATTGTCCGTGGGGCAGCTGTCGCCTGTAAGAAAATGCGCATTAATGGATCTTGTTCCTGCCCCGCCCCTATTCCATCTTTTTTTTTTTCTTACAAAGCTCCAGGCCGTGGCGCGCGCAAAACATGAATCCATTAATCGTCACGGTGTCAGAGTCGACTTCATTGTTGTGATCCACTTGGGGCGCGAATTGGGAGTCCATTTGCTTTTCTTTTTTGTTGCGAAAGACGAAAAAAAAGAAAAAGAAAAGAAAAAGGGATGTGTCTCGCCATTTATACGAAAAAAACAAAAATCACGCGTGGTGAAACACACAGGTGAATCAAGTGTGTGTGAGCCTTTTTGCGGCGGAGATGATGTCAGGTGGTGTGATATCCGTGTTTTTGACAGAGGGGGGCCGTGAGTGTGGGAGCAATAACCCTGTTCTCACTGACCCTTGCATTGCCTGTCATCAAAGTGACAGGTCAGACACCTATTGCCCTTTCTTGTCCCCCTTTGCATCACGCCAGAAAAAGACATCCGGTAAAAACAAGGAAAAAGCGTGTGCGCTTGCCTTTTTTTCTCAATTTTTTTTTCATTGCATGATGCGCATTGGCGCCCCCACACACCACTTTCATCATAAACGGGCCATTGTAGGTAGGTAGCAAAAAGACGCATTGACGCATTGGCTCTGCTGAATTGGGGTGCTCCAGTTTAATTGACACCGAAAAAGGGAGTTTTGTGACACATGTTTTTGATTCACCGCGCGCAATGGCAAGCAAATATTGGTTCAAATGCTCGGACATGCGGGCCCCGAAACGCCGGGCCAATGAAAATGCTCTAGAAGCCATGCAATGAAATTGTTTTTGCCCCCGAAATGAGTCTCCCTAGTGGCCTAGTTGGTTTAAGGCCTCGTGCTTATAGCTCTTACTATACCAGAGTCACGCGAAAATCGCGAGTTCGATCCTCGCCTAGGGAATCTCCTCCTTTTTTACGCTGGAGACTCTCCCCTAAGGCCAATTGTACGTTTTTGCTAGCTGATTTTTTGATCTTCTTTTTTTTTTTTGGGACTTGTGAGCACAAGGTATCAGAGATCAGCGGGCGAATTGAGCGAAGCAGCCTAGGTTTTATTTGGAACAAAATGATGGTAAATTAAGTTTGATCGGCTCAAGTAGTGTGTCAACTCGTTTTTTTTTTTTTTTTGGCCATTGCTCATGCCCTTCGAAGGCAACCCCAAGCAAGAGCATGGCAATGATGGAGTTGTTTTGCTTTTGTGTGTGGTGGGACCAAGAGCTCGCAATGCGCAATGCGCAATTCCTTTGCATGAACAAGAGTTGCATCTGCAAGCACCCAAAGTGCCATTTTGCCAAGTTGGCGGGCCAATTTAACACTTGGCATGCCACTTTGGCGCTTGCAAACGCCACTATAAAAAGCGCGTGTGAATTGGCCGATGAGCGACAACACAGTGCCTTTTTATGCAAGTGATGTTTTTGGCGATATCTGAGCTCCAATTGGTCAGCGTGGTTAGAAGGAAAGGGGCGAGAAAGGTGCCTGAGCGCCCATGAGGATGGACGGCCTGTTCAAAACCTTGGCACCGGATGCATTGCCAATTTGGTCCATGAGAGCCGAGCAAAAGCGAAAAAAAAAGACTTGTCGCCATCCTTGATCGAGATGGCCACACGCCGACCCCCCGTCTGCTCCCTGTCTTTTGCACACGCGCATGGTTGAATTGCCGGATGGGGTGGCCATTTTAAAGCTTTTTTTTTTTACGCCTTGACCAAGAAAAATGGTCGAACAAGGGCGTCATCTCCTTTTGACCCCCCCGTATGAAGATGACGCACAGGTCTCCCAAGACCCGCCAGCGTCCAATGACACTCATGACACACAATTGCACCACATCCATGACCAATTGCTCACAAAGCAGCTTTTAAAAAAAGGGGGGAATCCGCAAATGCTCAATTTTTTTTATTCATTTTTTCAATGCGTGTGAGTGGTTTAGCCGGTCAAAGAGAGAGAAAAAAATAAGGTGATGCTGTTTGCATGATTTTTTTTAAAAGTACACGCACAGGAGAGAGCAAGGAGGAGAAGGGGGGCAAAGAACGAGGGGTGCGACGTGACTAAAATAAAATATGGGAGAGAGGGGGGATGAACTGGGAATCAAGATGAAGAAAGAAAAAAAAGCAAGCCAGAAAAAGCGAGAGAGAGAGGGTAAAACAAGGGGGGGATGAGGGAGAGAGAGAGAGAGTTGAAGCAGATAAATATGGGAATATTGAAAAAGAATAAGGCGACAGAACAAAGAACAGGGGGAGCACGTCCAGGCGTCGGTCCAATTGCGTTGTGTTTGTCCATCAATGGACCAACACTTCTGTTTGGGTGGTCGTCGCAGAAGGTGGGGGCGTATTTGGCGGCGCAATGGTGGTTGCCGGCTGGACTTGCTCCTTTTTGGTATGGAGATTCTGCTGAACCTTGGTGGAATTCTTTGCTGGGCTCGGTGGTGGAGAGATGCGAATAGGGGTGGACGACGGCGATTGGAGCTTGGTGCGCTGCTGCTTGAGAGATTTGCCGTTCTTGTACAAATTCAGCACATTGCTATGATCGCCTATCCGGTACGACACCGTCAATGGGTCAATCCATATGATGAAATCCTGTGGGAGGTGTGTCATGATCGACTGTGGGGCAAGGCGAGCACTAACAGCAGCTGGCAACGAAAAAAAAAAAAAAAAAAAAAGGCGAGTTTAGCCCCCACCGACGGCCCGTTGTAGCCCTTTTTTTCGTTTTACCTTGTATCAAGATAGGGTCCAGCTGACTGTTGAAGTTCGACAATGCTCGATAAGCATTGCCTCGAGTGGGTTGGGTCACATCCCAGTGGTCAACGAATCGTTCCGATAACAAACAGTACAACTTTTCCTTGAAAGCGGCCATAGACGCCGCCGGGAACCGAGTGTCGAGCAACCGGCCAACAAAATCGATAGCTTCCGTAATTTCTTCATGCATTGTTCATAAATAAATATAAAAAAAGAGAGGAGGATATACAAAGGGAGAGGGGGGAAATAAAAAAAACAAAGAAAATAGCTTGACTGTGTGTGTGTGTGTGTGTGTGTGGATACGTGTGCACAAAAGGGAAGAAAAAGAGGGAAGAAAAAAAAAAAAAGAGTTGCCTGTTCACGCATGCAGACGCTCTTTTAAATTTTGAGCTTGCCTTTTTGGGGTTTGCAGCATCGACAACAACATGAGCAAGGGCTTTGATTTCGCCCCCTTCCAGCCCAAATTCATCATCCATTTCATGTCTCATTTTGTTGGACAGCCTCCAATGTGTCTCATTGGGGCATGCAATGCGTGTTCATCACAGCCACTGCAACTCCATTAACCTTCTCTACAAAATCAAACGTACCTTTTTTTTTATTATGGGTGCTTTTTGGACGCGCTAGCGGCGCCTATTTCTTGGCAAATTATTGACAGACGATCCCCAATTGCCATGACAACGAATTGGGGAATTCTGTCTTTTTGGGACGAGATCATAGGCGGATTGAATGGTGGCCACTGCGCTTTTTTTTATTATTTCTTTTGCTGCGGCCGCGCGACTTCATTCTCTGTCTCGTGTGCGCGCGGTAGCATAGTGCGACAGCCCAATGTCAGTTGAAACTTCCGTGGCCGTTGCTGGGTTGCTATGGGTTAGGGGCCAATGGTGGACGAACCCGACAAAAAGGCACTTTTTTTTATTGTGTGGGGGCCAACAAAGGCAACAAATCTAAAAATAGCCATGGCCCTCCCACACGCTGAGTGCAATGGTGATTGGTTACGTACAATTGATTGTCTGCATGAACAAAGCAAATTAGAACATCTTCATTTGACGCGCCATGGTAAATGAGATGATGCCAAACACTGCCAAACTACACACAATCCAGAAAAAGTAAATCAAATTGTCATAGTCCTTGAGAGAGAGAGAGAGAGAGAAAAAAAAAAAAGAGAAAAGGGTGATGATTTAGCCTGTTGCTCACTGACCCCCTTAATTTTTTTTTTCCGCGCCCGCCCAACCCCCCCCTTTTTTTCCAGCTCATGCGTGTGAGATCGTGAATCGCCCATCCCATCATCTGATGACCCAGGCTTCACGCCTACTCCCCTCCTCCTTTTTGTGTTTTTTTTCCTCCCTCCTTTTTTTTTTTTTTTTTTTTTTTTACCTTCCCAGGGACCTTGACGTTCATACCAAAGAGACCAGTGACCAGATTCATTGGCACAAGCACGGTGGCAAAGATCGTCAGCCGGCCAATGACCTGATTGGTGGCATTGGAAGTCTGCGTGAGCTCGATGGAGATCTTTGCGAGATAATTGGAGTGAGATCGAGCAAGGGCCGTCTCGAAATGATTCAAATTCTGCAACATGGTGACAATGTGATCTTTTTGATGGTGAAAAAAAAAAAGCAATGGAGCCTTGAGCCTGCGCCGTCCCAGTCTCTTTTTTTTTTTTTTTTTTTTTTTTTTTTTTTTTTTTTTTTTTTTTTTTTTTTTTTTTTTTTTTTTTTTTTTTTTTTTTTTTTACCTTGGACATCGCCTAGATAGAGCGCGACGTCAGGGATGATGCGCCCATACACCGGGAATAGGCACTTTTTGTTGTCTTGCTCGGATGAGGGCGACGATGGCATCTTGACAAGGGTGCTTGTGCTCCCGCTATCATCAATGAACGACGAACGCTCTTCAAATCGCTTGATCAATGCGCGGATGACGTCCGATTTGCTGGACAACAGGCGCAGCAGTTGAACAACACGCTTGCGACACATCCCTATGCGGCAGATGGTCATGTTTTGGTCGTCTGCGCTCGTTGTCGTCGTGTGCAGCACATAATCTTCAAGATTCTCCACCTCTTGCTCAATCTGCTGGATCAAAGGCGCAAAGCTGTCCGTGATCTCGTCCATCAGCGCGTAATTGATCCATTCAGGCACGAGCGTGATGAAATCTTGCAATTGGTGCACACGCTGCAAGACATAGTCGACGTGTGGCACCTGGTCAAAATGGACCTTTTTCACAAAAAGACGTGTGTGAGTGCGCTTTTCCTCGCATTTTTGTGTGTTTTTCTCTTTTTTTTTTTTTCTTGATACACTGCCAAAATACGTACCGTGAGCAAGTGCCGACGAAAGACAATATTGTAAAAGTTGATGGGGGTTAATTGGACGTCGTCATGCACAAAGGCGCGATAGGACACAAAGAGGTAGTCGCGGAATGAATCGCATTTTTCTCGAATTTCCTGGCTCATGATATCCTCTGCGGTCAATGCATGGATGCCAAAGATCTAATGAGAGAGCGAGAGAGAGAGAGAGAGACAGTGCAATGATGCAATGGACAATGCGTTATTGACGAGGGGCAGGAATCAAATCAACCAGCACCAAACTTGCCAATTGCGCGCGCGCATGTCACGCGCCATCCATTTCATTTTCCCTTTTTTCTCCTTCCTTACTTGGCTGATCGTCTTCATTTCGGCCTGTGTAGGGCATGTCACGTCTAGCCAATAGTTCTCCTTGGCAAACAGGGTATCAAGCGACCAACTGTCCGTGGCCAATTCTCGCAATGTCCTTGCCTGCCGCCGTCCAACCTCGGGGTGATAATAAACAAAGCGATCGATAAAAACAAGAGGTGTCTAGTGATGGCAATTAATCCACCCCCCGCATAAAAAAAAAAGATCATCAGGGCCATGGTCAACGAGAAAATTGGAAAAATCTGCTCAATGACGCATTTTCCCTTTTTTTTTTTTTCTTACCAAATGAAGGTGATTGTCACCGTACAGGCTGAGCTTTTTCTCCTGGATGTCCATGGAAACATCCTTTTCCGGATCGCGCGTGTTGAGGTGTTCTAGGATGGAAGGGTTCATGGAACGTCGCTTGCACGTGGATGAATTGGGTGTCAGGCATGCTGGCGATCCTGGTGTCGCGGTCGGCGATGTGCTAGGGAAGCAAACGTCTTCGTCAGGACGGCTAGGTCGTTCTTGGAA